GGCTAAAAAGGGGCGAGATTCCAGAGAGAAACGAGCCGACGAGTAATTCGCGGAGGTCGTACATCATCCCCTGTGAACGGTTGTCCGCCTATTCGGTCGCTTCGTTTGGGCTTAAATCAAATTTACTAATTAACACCATTTACCAGGATCTATAGCGAGGGACTCGCGCGCTGTCCGCCGTCCGTGACTCTCTAAGCTCCTTTTTGTTTCCTCTTCAACGTCGGTACGCGTTATTGATGATGCTCGTTAAAGAGCTCTCACGTGCCTGTGGGGGCAGTTCTTCTTCTTCTTCTTCTTCTTCTTCTTCTTCTTCCTCCCGATATATACCCTCTTCTCTCCTCGCTCGCCGTATAACCGTTCCGTGGGCCTCTCGTCGAGTCTCTCGGACTCCTGTACGCCTGTGATCCATCCTCGTGCCACTCGGCCTAGCTGCCGCGGGACATTAGTCATCGACAATCAAGATGAATTCACTCTTAAACAATGACGCTTAATTTCAAGAAGCCACCGAACAAGACGAACAATCGCCCAATTCCCCTCGGACTCGCTTCTCCGCTCTTCCAACAATCCTCGCCAACCTGCTCGCCGATCCTCTTCGAGGATCTTTTACCACCGAACCTGCACACGCTTCGTTTCTCTCGCGTTATTACCCACTGCTACGCACGAACACACACACACACACACATACACACATATACACACGTATACACACATACATGTTTCGTAGGGGGTTAGATTTATGGTGCGTCGCATTATCACGTAAGGTAACGCGACACCGCAATTCCACTCGCCGGCACCGACGGCCAAACGCGCAAATTACCATCGCGATTGCGGCTAACTCGCCCCTTTACGCTAATAACGCAACACCACGCGGCGAATCGCAAACAAGGACGTGGAATACGCTCGCGGGACAAGCAATCTTTCCCACCGAGGGCGTAAACCGCAATCTGCCGCTAAATCATCCCATCCTCGAATATTTATTTATCCGCTCGATCATCCACGCATTTCACGCATTTTTATTTTTAATCCACGATTATCCCGACGATAAATATTTCTTGGGAAAGAAGAAGCTTTTAATAGGTGGAAACCAGAGAAATTGTCGTTCTAATTGAATCGAAGATATTAATGGAATTTCTTCAGATCAGGATAGATTTTATTTATGAAAGGAATTTATATATCCTTCGATTTTAGAATATTTATATATCCTTGCATTTTCGTATTTCTAGTCACAGGAACGAGAAATTATTTTCCATTGAAACAGAAAAAAGAAAAAAAAGAATTTGAATTCTCCCGAATGGAGATCCTCCAATTTTCTCACAGAGAATAAAGGGTCGTCGTCATCATCATCGTTCTCGAATAGTTTTCGAAACTTGCCACAAGGTTCCTCGTCACGAGGAGGAAGATCGGGGCGGGCATTGGAAATATCGAGTCGAGATGTGTCACCATCGAGAGGAAAGGGGTCGTTCGGGATAATCGTAGGCGTTCGTTATTTATCAGTCGCATGACGTATACACGCGTATAGTTTTGCCATATAGACCCAGTGGGGTTTACATGTCCACCGACGCGATCGAATGCAAATATCACGAGACGCTCGCGCGGAATTATATCATTATTTCTCGGTTTGTGGCGGTGTGTGTGTGGCGTGGCTACGCCTCGTGGCCGTGTCTTTTTTCAAATAAGGAAATAAATTAAGACGTAATGGGCTTAATAAGGCTCCAGCCGGATAGCATTCCGCGACCATGCCGGTAACTAATGGCGGCATTTGCGCGTTTTATACCATGTCTGGTCTCACAACTGGTCTCTCCCTTGTAAATTTCCAAAACTCCGCTCCTTTTTCTTTTTCCTCTCCTCTTCCCTCCCCCTTCCCTTCCTTCGATTTTTGAGCATCCGTATCTTTTGTCTTTTAATTTTAATCAGACCATCGTGTTGTTATCATCGCGACGATGATAATCGAATCGTTGGAAAATTAAAAAAGGATTCTCGCTGAATATCGCGAATATCTCGGTTACATCGAACCGGTTATAATCGGTGTGTCGTCAAACTCGAACATTGACTCGTTCTGGGGATGATCGATGCAACGCTTCTTTTTTTTTTTTTTCTTTCGAATATCCGCTCGATCCGGTGATCAAGAACAAAGGAGGAGGAATGAGAGCAGATCGCGGAGATAACTCGATCTGCTCGCCGATAAATAGATCGTATCTACCTTCCCTTATTTTCCTTCCTTTATTTTTCCACGTTACGCGTCGATGTTAACGAGAAACTTTACACAATGTGTGTACAGTGTACACACTTGTTATTATGCTTGTATCTTGAACCGGTGAGACTCGATCTTCGATGAAAATACAAGGGGGAGGGGGAAGATCGAGGTGGATGGAGCAGGGTATACAAAAGAGAAAAGCAAATGGAGAAAATGGAGCAAAGAGGAGAGGGGAGAAGGAGGAGGAGAAGAGAGAGAATGAAACGGAGCATGGAAGCAGAAGCAGCCAGGGCCGAATATGATGTGGATCCGCTACATAAGACTGATACTGGATATACCTGGGATACAGGAGGCCGTGCAGCGGTGTAAATGCAATCAAGAAGGCCTCAATTAGACCGTCACGCCGTACATCCCTCATCTCCAAGTCTCTCGCCGCTCCTCCTTCCTCTTCATCGTCTTCGTTTCGTCGTCGTCCACCTTCCTCCTCCTTCCTCGTCATCTTCTTTTCTTTCAACTTCTCTTCTTCCTCTTCTTCTTCGTTTCTTTTGTCTCTTTCTCTCTCTCTCTCTCTTACGCGTTCCACCTTCCATTTTCCCTTGCCATGGTTACCATGGATTCCTCCTTGCCACTCGTTTACAGATACAAATTTAAAAAACGAGAAGAAGAAGAAGAAGAAGAAGGAGAAGAAGAAAAACGATGTCGTTCGTAGATAGTTTTAAAAAACTTGTTGCGAAGCCGGGATAATGAAAAGCGTGAGGGAAACTTTGACACCTTACAGCTAATCGAATTATAAAATTGGAGACATAATTGGAGACGTAATTCGAAAGGAAGGGGGACGATTACGACCGATTAACTCCGAGTCGAGGCTCGAACGCTTTAGTAAAAAGGGCCACGATTTCGTCGTAAACCGTCCACTTTCCCTATCGTTAGACCCTATTAAACCAACTATATATGAGAGTACACAAGGGAGGTCTACGAAAGTTTTTAACCGAGCTTAAGCGAGAGGCCGAGATTAAGGGGGCTGTTTAATCTGCATCCATCGCGATGATAGGTAACGGTTGGAGGGAATCATCGCGGAGGCCTTCACGTTAACCGAGTTAGTTACAGCAAACCCTGCAATTAGGGATTGTTAACTGGATAAAACCTTACGCGTGCTCCGCGTGAAGGGGGAAAAAACGAGGACCGTTTAGAAGATGAGGAGTAATCGCGGCTGCCCAAGGTGGTCAAAGGAATTCTTTATCCTATAAATTTCATCGGGACGAGAATGGAAGACGATCGATCTTCGAATCAGTTTTATATATATATATATATATCTTTTCATACCGTTTTTCACATCTCCAACTTATTCCTTAGGAAAAAGAACCGCTTTTTATAAGAGCAAACATTCGAAGATTGTGCCCACCAGCAACCTTCTCTCGGATAAGATGCACGTTGACCGTGTAACTATAACCTTAACCGGTGTTTTATCGAAACAAATCACTGTTTCGAGAGCGCATTCTTCTCGACCCCTAACGTCTAACGTTTCTTTTTTTCGGTGAACGTAGCCGGTTTGGAAGCCGGTTGCTACCGATCGCTAAATTCATTCCGATGTAGACAGTTATTAGGTGGCTAGAGCCGGTGTAAAACGTCGCTATAATGATCGGTTACTAACTAACTGCCTTTCTCCACTATCCCCCGCGCGACGTATAAACATCCACAACGTATATATGCATACGTATATATACGTGTATAGCGGAGAGCAGCGGTGCACTTAGCCCATAACCCGCGGGCACCCTCCGATACTGTTTACACCGTAGTAATTTGCTAATGGCCAGGCCAACACGATGAATTCGGGATCGAGCGGTTGCGTGGTCTGCATTTCGGATCGCGCTGGACCACGCGCTGACCAGGACGGAATCATCGCAAGCCTCTCGATCGCCATCGAGGGACACGCCTTCCCTCGTTCTCGTCCGCCTTTTATCGTTCCTCCGCGCGTTATCGAGTCGACTTCTTAGGAAAAATTGTTATCGGCTACTCTCCAACGTCTGATTATCACCCAACGTAATTCAATATTTCAGAAATATGGTGGTGGCGCACATCTTAAATGCCTCTCTCCCTCTCTCTCTGTCTCGTTTCTTCGAGAAAGAAAGAAAGAAAGAAAAAAGAAAAGGAAAAAGATCATCCTCTCCTGTTGCGTATGTCTTTTTTTTTTTCTTTTCAGAGAGATCAGAGAGATCCATCGAATCGAGTTTTTTAGTTGTAGAGACACGATTAGAAAAGATTATGCGTTTAAATTGGTGGATGGTTTCGTTAACGATGATGTTATTCGAGATATCCTTTAGCGGGCTCAGTTGGATCGCGACGAGACGAACGAAGCGAGACGTGTTTAAAGACAGCGTCAGTTTTGATCGGCGGATCGGCGTTCTGTCGGTAATCGTTCGATTTATCAACCACGAGATCGTTAGCGCTCGGTGGGGAACGAAGGTATTCACGGTGCTGTTAATTAGCTGACGCGCATTAATGGGTCGAGACTCCATTAAACTGTAAAATATTTAAATAACTCGACGACGGGCGTGCCTGAATGCGAATTACTCGTCGTAAGTCAGTCGACCAAGTCTTGAAAGTCTTCGTACGTAGAAGTTAGAAGAGTTGTAACGTATGTGCTATGGGATGATATATAATGATACGTTTTTCTTTCTTTTCTCTCTCTCTCTCTCTTTTTTTCTCTTGAAATTTGCCTATAAATTAATATTTTTTTTTCAACCGTGCATCGTGACATCTTTATTCATTGGATAGATAGGGTTCGTTTAATAAATAACGACGCTCATTCTCTTTTTTGTTCTTTCTTTTTTTCCCCCGCTTTATCTTTTTCTTTCTTCTTTGCAATGATTTTATTCGTCGTAAAAAGAGGAAGGTAAAAAGGGTGAATGAAATCAAGTACAATGGACACCCGATGCTTTGTTTTACTCGTGGAAAATGGAACTCGTGAAATCGTTCGACAACGTTCGTTGCATTCTCTCTTCGTTTCGTTCGAGATCCTTGAAAAAAAAAATCGATAAATTTTTTTTAGAAGTTAGAATTTTGATCGTCTCTTACTTGTTCATTCTATTTTTTTCTTTTTTTTTTTTTTTTTTTTTTTTAAAAATCGTAACGTTCCCTCTTCTCGCGTGACATCGACGAATACGTTATTCCGTTTGAAAAGCGAGGGTTCTTTCGAGAAAAACATTCATAATATTGTCGTCAAAAACGATGCACACAATCGGATATGTACTTGCAAGATCTCTTCAACAAAGTTACGCATACGTCGTTAATTATTTACAGCCAACTTACACGCTAAATATGCTTATACAGTCGTAAAACTTATAATATATGAACATCCAAGAATTAATGAACGCCGTATATAAATACTTTCTCTTATCTAAATTGCGTATAACGTGTCTGTGTAAAAGTAATCGAATCACACGAGCTGTCCCCGTTTTTATTATTAGGTCATCTATTAAATAATCTCGACGGATGATGATTTTTGTTTAAAAAAATCTTTCAACTCACGTTTGACGTTTTACAACGTTACGTTTTTTTCGATTTTTTTTTTTTTTTCGTTTTTCTCTTTTTCTTCTTTTCTCTAAATAAGAAAAGTTCTTCATATTTACAATAAAAATTATGCAGCGGTTAAAAAAATGTTATTCGAGAGCAAATTTTTTATCGCAATGCTAAGAATTCTTTCTGTGGACGGACATCTTTCGATGATGTTTGCTTAAAGATACTCCCCTATTGTACATAATAATTAATAAGTAGACGATTCTACTGGTTCACGGTTCGCCAATATTCCCTTCATGATCATGTGTTTTCGGATTATTTTTTCAAATTTATACAAAAATTTGTTATTCGTTACAATTTTTCTAAACAATTCTATGAAAATTCAAGATGTCTGTTTCTCGCGAATATATAATTCTTTCGACAAATGTGTTTTATGTATCCGCGGGAAATTTCGTGAATTTTCGACGGGATAAAACAAATTTGAAAAATATTCCGAAAATTTCACGCGAACGTGTAAATATTATATTTCGTTACAGTTCGTTCGTATCTCGCCGCTTTAATTAAACGTAAATTATATACAACAAATTGTATACGAAGAAATATATTCGCTTAATTCCTTGTTTTCTCGCAATCGTTTAAACGCACAGAATTCGTATTGTGAAACGAGGAAGGTTCTTCTATTAAGAGGAAGGCCGAAAGAAACTCGTTTGTACACGGACAGGTATATCGTTGTTTCTCTTGTAACGAACGACATTGTAAAAACTGTCACCAAAGTGATTCATTGGGTCACGATCCACGCAAAAGAGCAATGACACTTCTAACATCCATTAAAAAAAACTCGTACACTAATTGTGCGTTTCTTAAATGGTCGTCGAAGTTGTCAACGTGGACATGACGCACGGAATCGTTGGTTTATATTACACGAGTATATTATACGAGTGTGTGTGTGTGTCTGTGTGCATGTTTGTGTACGTGTATGTGTATCTGTGTGTACGTGTATGTGTATGTGTATAGTTGCAAGAAATCTTTCGCAAAAAACACGTTGCCTAAAGTCGCTCGAGAATCTTCGAATTCCGTAAAACGATGATCGATCGATCGATCGAGACGATCGGTAAACGTACGATTCATGAAAACGTGTGTACGATTTACGTCGATCGTCTCCTAACCATCGATGATCGTCGATACGCGATTCGAAGAAAAAGAATCGAGGCAGATAGTGTCTCTAACGTATTATATATTAAGTAACAAAGGCACAAGTGATCACAGAAAGAAGGATAACTACAATTCTCAACCTTCCTTCGCGTACACGCAATTAACGGTACAAAAGTGTTCAACCACTTCGAAGCGAGTTCTTTGGTTCGTATCTTGTACGAAACATACAAAATATGCGGACTTACTTAAGAAGGCGCGCATACAATTGATATCGGTCGATGCATAATCATCTGACACTGACTCTATACCCCCATCTTCCCTCTTCAACAACAACGACGAAGGAAAAGAATTATTCGTCGTCGACGAGTTGAAATCCGTAACGTCTTAAATTTTTATTCCCTCGCCACTCCAGTTTTATCTACTCGATGATAACGAAAAAATGTTAATTGTTGATTTTTTTCGACGAGAAGAGATCACGATCGTAAAGTAAAAAATGCAAGTAAGCGAAGGATTTTCTAAACGTTAAGAATCTAAGATGACTAAACTCTTCAGCTGATGAGATCCCCGTTTTTGCGAAGCATCTCGAGGTGTAGCTCGTACTCCCTGGCCTTGAGTCTGAGGGAGGCGATGCTGTTGGTTCGTCTGTCGATGTCGGGCAGCCCCACGGTGGCCGTGGGCGAGCCTTGGGGCGAGCTGGCGGTCGGCGGGGGCGGCGGGACTTGCGGGTGCGGCAGGCCGATCGCGGGCGCCGGGGGGGGCGGGGGTGGTGGCGAGCCGCGGACCAATTTCGGCCTCTGGGCCGCGGATATGTTGGCCAGCAGGCTTTGAAAGGACGCCGCCGACGTGTAAGGCAGGGGCATCCCAGGTGGTAGCAAAGGTGGCGGCGCGCGATGATAGGGATGAGCGGTGTAACTACCGGGGAGGACCGGCCCGTGACCCAGAGGTGGGTAACGAAACGCGTCGAACGGTTTCCGCAGGGCAAACGTGCCCAGGTGGGCGAAAGGGTTCGGCAAGGTCGGCGCGACGACCGCCGACGCTGGTGGCGCACTCGATCCCAAGTACGGATTGTACGGATGTGCCTGGGGCCCGACCTTCTCCTGTTTCCGCCACTTTGCGCGTCGATTCTGAAACCAAACCTGTAACCAAACCACCGTGTATTATTTATTTTCTTTCCTTCTTTTTTTTTTTTTTTTTTTTTTTTGTTCTTCCTTCCCCTCGTGTCTTTACAGCAACGAGCTGTAAGACGAGAAGAGGCGAACCGGAGGTAACGATCACTTTTCCGAACCTATTCCACTTTTATTTTTCTATTTTTGGAATATCGTTCGAGGAAGGGAAAGGACGAGGAGAGGCAACGATCGGAGGAAGGGAAAGGACGAGGAGAGGCAACGATCGGAGGAATCGGTTTCGAGAAACGAGAGATCGATCCGATTCCGGGTCGGAAAGCAAATATACCACAGCTTTCGTTTCTCTGGAAGTTGTTGGGGAACCGTGCAAGTGCGAATTCTGGTTAACGCGACGCGTTCCTCCTTTTTTCAGGAAGCTCGCGGTGTATCATTATCGGCGAGGATGGAAGAAGGAAGCCGAAGGAGATCGCTGCGAGGTATCTTTCTTCCTTCGCCTACCTGTGGCCCCCTTGTCTTTATTTTCCCCTCCGAAATAATCGAAAACGAAATATCGGCCATCGGTAAACCCGTTACTCGCCGTTCTTTTGGCCCACTTTCCAACCAAAAATTACGAAAAGATTAGATTCTCTGTCTCCCATTCCCCTTCTGATCCTCTTTTCACGAGAGAGCAATTCTTCGTGTTTCTTACATCGATCATTTATAAATAGGAAAAGGATGTTTTCAGGATTATCGAATTATCGAAACGATGATCGTTCGTGATGCGTTCCAACGCATTCCATCGCGAAAGTTCCTCGAAGACTCGAGCTCTAATCAGTTCAACGGAAGCTCTCCTCCCTTTTCTCGTCCACTCCTTTCCCCTTTTCCCCCCTTCTTTTTTTCCTCCCGTTCGTTCCTTTAACGGACTTTAATTCCGCGGTCTCCTTTTCGGTTGTTAGGTCGATTTCGCGTCGTGGTTGAAACACGACACGAAACCCGCGTATGTATACTTGGATTTCAACGTTATCGTCGAGAGAAGTCTCTCGCAGAAACGAGAAGAAGACAAACGATTCCACTCCAACAAATTGCTTTCATATATCTCGTGACAGAGCGTAATGACGACAACCCAACTTGGTTCAATAACCGCAAGCTTTGTCGTAAACATCTGCTCGTTTCTGGAGAAGAAGATATTCTACCAAAAAGAAGAAAAAAAAAAAAAAAAAAAAAAAAAAGGAAGAAGAAAAAGAAAGAAATCCTCGTACGCGGTTCGTTTCGTAATACCAGGATTCAAGTTTGAGAAAAAGATTTCAGAATGTAATTTGTCTCGAAAGACAGTTTTATAGGCTCACCGACACGCGACAAATTACCTTCGAGGATTGTTCGCCTTCGAGATACTTCGAGATCGGAATATACACGTACTTCGTTTCGCTATATTTTTTTTAAACGCCACTTTTTTTTATTTCCTTTGTTAGGCTAGGAAATCAAAAGGACCGCCGAAAGATGTAGACACTCCCATGTACACGATCGACGACGAGATGCAGCCTCGTCATTGCACGGGAGAGGGAATGGGAGCGTGTTGGAAGGATATTTCGAGATGACTTTGCGATTCGGGAATCGATTCGATCGATCAACGCGTAGAAAACTATTCTATGACTCGTGAGATTACGAGATTCTATCCTGCTAACTACTAATCTCTCCCACTTTTTCCCTCTCTTCTTCCTGAAAGAAAGAAGTTTCCATCCCTCGACTGGTTCTATCCTCGAAAAACAATTCTTTCTTCCACTATTTCTCTCCATTCAATCCGTATAACCCTATATAAACGAAAGAACAAGAGACGACACAAGAGAGAGAGGCAAGAAGAGAAAAGAAATATAAAGAATATAAAGAAATATAATAACGAAACTATAATACTAATAAATAACTAATAAATAACTAATAAATAACGAAACGCGCGTGCGTTTGAAACGAGTAAATTCTTTCTTCGTTAATCGAGAAAGGATTGAAATGAAAGTCGAACGATTGCGTAACGTAAACGTAGAAAAAAGAAACCGTACAACCATGGTCGTGGTTATGGACGAAAAAAAAAAAAAAGAAAAAAGAGCAAGAGTAAGAGGTAATAATGGTTAAAGAAGGAAAAGAAGGAAAACGTGTGTGTTCCACGGGTGAATCGAACGATCAAACGGACACGGTGGAACATGCAAACTCGTTGCTAGGCTGTATGGAGAGTTAAAGGTGAATGGGGTGTGGGGGGTCGGGTGCCAGGACCCCCCACAGCGAGCAGGATTGCCCCCAGCAGGGAGCTAAACATCCGAGTTGCGGCTTTTAAAACAAAACGTAACCACGATTCGCCGCCGGAACCTAGTCGTTTCGTGCTTAATCGTGCCGCATTAATTACGCCGGCTACGTTCTCTCTCTCTCTCCCTCTCCCTTTCATCGACTCTCTTCCCTTATTCCAGAGGGGAGGGGGACACCACGCGCAACTTCCTCAAACGAAACCGTTTCCTCTTTAAATGATTACGCTTTGCGGATAGATCGGGAATTAATATCTCGTGGAATATTCTTCGACGCGTACTCTCGAGAACATCGATCAAAATTAACGTTCGGACAAGGACGACGTTGGTAATTAAATATTCGAATGGTCGATCAATCACGAAAATTTTTTATACGTTCACTGAGAGAGGAAAAAAATTTTTTTAATATATGGATTGTATTTACGATTATACTTTTCCTCCAATCGATTGTTTCGAATGTAATTTTTTTTATTTGGATATAAATATATTTTACCGAAAGGTAAATATTTTGTAACATGGATAAATAATTATGATTTCATCAATTATCCTTCCAAGTGATTTTCGCTAATGAAAAGATTATTTTTGACGTGGCAACTTTATTATATCGAAGAACTCGTGCGAAGATTTTTACGACCGATTATATAATGTCGTAATGTAGTTTTATCAGAACGAACGTTTGGTTAACGTTCTTTCGATAAATTAAAGACGTATAAAGAGGATTTCTAAAAATGATTAGCAGGGATCCTCGATATTATGTCATTCTTAATAACGTTCCTCGTGAGGCGTGCGCTCGTATAATAAACTCTAAATTCTGAATAAATTATCGATTTGCGACGGATGATGACGTATTTGCAAGTATAATGAAAAGTGAAGTTCCATGGGGCGCGAGGAAGACACGTGTAAATACGGGCCCCGCGTCGAAATAAGATAAACGCGCGTGAGAGAAAGAGAAAAAGAAGAGGAGAGAGATCGTGAAGTGAAGAAGAAGTATAGCCACGAGGACTAAAGGGAAGGACGAAGTAAATACTGGGAATAAATTAAATTAATCGAGTAAATTAACCGGTTGTTCATCCGCCAAAATTTTATGGACGTGCTTATGGTATGGCAACGTGACACAACGAGATATCACCCAAACAATTTACTCATTTTTCCTTTCCATTAGTTCATTTAATTTAATTAGATCTATCATTTACGTTATATTAAATCGTGTTAATCGAATAATCGTAAAAAGAAAAAAAAAAAAAAAAAAGAAACAAAAAAATGCATACGAAATACGCGATAAAAAAGCATTAATGAGGAACATCTAATAAATAAGTAAGCATCGTTTTGCATCGCTTTGATATAATAGTTTGCGATGCATATAAATGCAAACAAACAACATGGAAGAAAATTAGCGAGATCGATTGAAAAATTGACGTACTAATTTACTAACCTGTATCCGTGCCTCTGTAAGACCGATCTTCATAGCTAATTCCTCTCTGAAAGAAAGAAAAAAAAAAGAAATAAATTTGCAAGGTTAACACGAATTAGGCGTGTGAGACAGAGTTTCGCGTATTCGCACCGGATAAAGTAATAAGAAATTTAAGAAAATTGAGACGATTGTAAATATATTGGTACAGGATCGCGAATAATAGCAATAAAGAAACTACGAAATCTCGGCAACGCGAGTAATCATACATCCATTAAATTAATTAGAACGTTTGTAAGAAATCAATTAATTTCATTACGTCTTCCAACAACGTGTGATTTTCAATCCGATTGCCATTCGCATAAATTACGTGTGACGAGTGTAACGCATTGTAGCACGGCATTTTCATAATTATTCACCACTGCTCGAGTAATAGATCGTATCTCGGCCTCACACACACACACACACACACACACACACACACACACGCACGCACGTGCATACTTAACAAATTTGCAGCAACGCGACGACTATGTTTCTCCGGATAGATATATTATACGCATATCATTATTTACAATAAATTAAACGACTATTAGCAAAGATTGCACACAGTTAAAATGCAACAGTTTATATAACGTGCAAAAATCATTGGCGTTTCTGTGGAATAATGAATAATTATTTTTTCGCTTCGTCTTTCTTCTTCTTCTTCTTCTTTTCCTTTTTTTTTTTTTCTTCCTCCCCTCCCCGATAACTTTTTTATTTCATTCCTTCTTCTTTTCTCTCTCTCTATCTCTCTCTCTCTCTCTCTGTTTGCCACCGACTCCTTGAACCGTATCACGTGATCACGTCAAGGGAAAAATCGAAAGATCGCATCGAGCGCGTGTCGCGCTCGTCGTTCGGATCAGGGTTAAACAAAAATTGCGGAAGCGAGGCAAGCCTCTCTCTCGATTTCTCCATTCCTAGGGGTTTCTAGGGGTTTTTTGTCGGTCGCAAAAAAAGGATCGAGGCGAGGATGCCGCGATTATTGTTACGTATCGATGTCCGGGATATACGAAATATCCCGATCCTCCCCACTCGCGCCGTCTCGCTAGACGGCCTGCGGGGTTTCTCATCTCGCACGCAAATTGCCCAGATGTTCCACGAAATCGCGAGGAAATATCGGTGATTATATCGCGCACAGAAGCTGCTTCTTCCCTTCCCCCGATCGGTTCAATCTCGTGTTTAGGCGAATTCGAGTATACACGAGGTTACGTTTCAGTTAGTGCCCGCTCGAAATTACAGGGACTTTGGAAACAACCTCTCGAAAATTGGCCGAACTGATTTATGCCGTTTTTATATCGTCGCGCCTCTCTCGGGTGAAATAGACATTGGACCCATTCGCGTGATCTTCTCCTCTTATTCCAAGTCAAATCGGATTAACGTAATTTTATCTCAGAGATGATAAAAACGACGATTTATATATTTTTCTATTCGAAAAAAGAAACCGTGTGTGTTTCATCGGGACTAATTAATGAAATTTCGAAGAATCTTGGAAATCTTGGAAATTTATCCAATCCCTATCGTTTCCACGTTTAAAGACCCTCCATCTAAGATTATCGATTTCTGAAAATATCTTACTGCACTTGGTGAATATTTCGATAACGAATAATAAGAGAGGTCCCAATTTTTTTTTTTTTTTTAATTAAATAAGAAATTTTATTAAATAAAATTTAATAAAATAAGAAAATTTTATTAATTAAATAAGAAAGAAAGATCTCGTAAAGTTGTTTCATAAATTGTCGTTATTATTATTACCAAAATTGGCCATTTCATAATCGATTTCCAAGATTACGATATAAAATCGGTGTGCGTCTAAGCGGAATCTCGAGGAACGGCCGAGATCCGAGCGGGGCACCTTGGCCTGCGAGTAATAATAATTTAGCCTTTCCCTTTTTCTCCTCCAACACTCACGAACGTCCTTCTGGATTTAATAAGATCACGAAATTTCGCGGTTAGACGGGCGTCCCTAATTACACCCGCCGTTCACTGGCGACTCGGTTTATCCTCGATTCGCGTATCGTTATTATTACGTATCTCTCCCTTCCTCGATGTCCTTGCTATGGGAAATGCACGCTAGCCGCGGCTCGCCGCCACTCTTCCAAGTGGAGTACACACACGCGCGCGCGCGCACACATATAGAGAGGGCCGACGAGATTAGTCGTATCTAACCGTTCGACGTAACAGACAACTTGTGCAACTTCTTTCACGAATCCTCTCCTCTGCAATTTATCGCTGTGTAATTTTTTAACAGGCTCATCTATCTCCGCTCTCAACGAGCTCTCGCGCATGATGACGTCAGGCATATTTGTATCGTAAAATAAAACCGCTCCTTCCTTCGTCGAGGTTGAAACACGCGTTAATAAACGCGTTTGCTTCGATCGTGCGAACGAGGTGTCCGTGCACGAGTCCATGCACACTCGTACGAGAGAGAGAGGAAGTAAACAGTTTCCACACGATAGGATGTTGTTAATGTGATTTAAACCGCGATCGACTTTGCCGTTTCGCAATCGCGATACAAGCACGAGCTCCTCCTCGACTCTTCGAATCTAAGCGAGATAGAGAGATTCGGTTCGCTCTATTTTTCCTTTTTCCTTCTTTCCTCGCGGTTTCTCGCATTTTCTCTCCTTTCCTTCGCTTCCTATTCTTCACTGGGGAGGAAGGGCGAGTGCATACGCAACGCGAATACTCCCCCTCCAATAATCGTCTCAACCAATTTCTCGTTATCGTTAGAATTTTTCTCGTGTCACTTGTCCCGTCTCGTTACGTTTCTCGTTTCGCCTCATTAAAATCGAATGTTTTTCTGGGGCGAATAATGAATAAACATCGCGAGCGGAGATAAAGGATTAAAACTTATGCGAAATAGCGTGTCGTTGACGCGAGATATGAAAAGTTATTCCAATCAACAGTCGCGCTTTCAACCGGTCTGTCATTCAACTTGTATTTCCTTTTCTTTTTTCTTTTTTTTTTTTTTCTCCTCGAAACGGCACGCGTGTGAGTTTATCATTTTTCAACCCACCACGTGTAACACACATACGTCCCTCTTCGCCCAAGTAGATCTGGTATATAAATATACGCGGGTTCGAAACGAGGAAAAGATAGAGGAAAACGATAGGCGGCACAGGCGATCAAGGCGAAGCGAGAAAAGGATGGAGGGTATTAGCGTGAAAGGGAGGGGAAGCGAGACGGAGGGAACGTTAGCACGAGAGTAGCGTGCGTTGTGTCGATGCGGCCTGAGAGAGGCTTGGCGCGCGAGTAATTCGAGTAATTGCCGGACAATTACATTATCTAATTAACCTCGGAGGTCGAATCGGCCGGCCAGCTCTCTGCGCTCTCTCGAGCTCGTGATTGTCCCTCGTGGCGCAACCTTAATCGTTATTGTTTAACATGCTCGAAATTGTCGCCGTCCGTGATCGACCGATTGCCTCGTTCACGGAAACTCCAAAGATTAAAAATAAAAATTACTCCCGTTCCGTTTAATCAAACGTATTTATCCTCGCACGATCATCGTTTCGTATCTACGTAGGACACGCGTGGATTCGAATCTCACGAGTAACAAGTGTAAAAGAAAACGTGGATTCGAATTTTCTTTTTCAAGAAGTGAACAAAACACCTCCAACCACCTCTGAATACTTTCCTACTTTTCGCTCTGTTCGTCGATCGAGTATCGATGACGATCGAAGCTTCAATTCGTGATCGTGATAAAATCAGGGAAAGAATGACGGTGAGAGAAGACACTCGATACTAGATAGTGGCAGATCCGTGTCGTGCAAGACGATAGAGAAGCAGGTAGCTACGAGGTAATATCCGTGCATAATGCGATGCAATCCATCTCCTCTCTAACGATCGGGTTGGTCAACGAACAACCCTTGGAATTTACCATTAATCTCGGTATAAATCATACGTCTCGACTTCTGCTAGAAAGCTGCGTTCGAAACGGCAATTACCAATGGAATGACACGGCATTACGGACTATTTCGACGGTAGCGCGCCGCCAGTGTACTTTCCTCGGCGAACCGGGTAAGGGCGGAAATTAATTTGCCCGTAATCGTAATAACGTAAGCGCCGTTGCGCTCAGGTATCGAAGCGGAGAGTAAGATAGGATTTTCGAGACCGTTTCGACCGATCGAAAACGAGAGAATCGGCGCAGATAGAGACGGAAGGGGAGCAAAGTCGGTAGCAAAGTCGTGTAATGTGTGCGAAATGCGTGCGTAATATGTGCTTAACACGCGTACGCCGTGAAGGGCCAATTACCGATTAGCCACACTGTCGTCGATCGAATCGAGAACGAGTCTCTCTCTCTCTCTCTCTCTCCCTCTCTCTCTCTCTCTCTTTCTCTCCTTCCCTCTTTTTCTCTGGAGGAACGTCCAACATCCGTTCTCTCGGAACGCTTCGGTCGGAGAATCGGTGGAAAGGAATGGGTTGGGCTGGTCGAAGGAGGAAGCCTGCAAAAAATTCGGTTCTGCGATTAGCGTGGAATGGATATAAAAAAAAAGGAGGGGAGAAAAAAGAAAGAAAGAAAGAAAAGAGAAGAGAAGAAAAAAGATTTAAGCGCAACGGGATTATGCTCGTGTAACGAAACGGACAATAAGAGAACGAGCGAAAATTAGTGAGAGAGTTGACGAAGCGTTGATTTTCGAGCGTGGCCCCGTCGCCGGTTCTAATTAGCGATCACACACAGGGCCCACTAATCTCATTTGCCAAGGAACGAATAACGGGTCGAAGAGAGAGAGAGAGAGAGAGAGAGAGAGAGAGAGAGAGAGAGAGAGAGAAAGAGAGAGAGCTGGCGGCATTTCTAATCGGGAGCATGACTCGTCGGTCGATTAATGACAGGAGAAGTTACGGGAGAAGAGTCGAGGGGGGACCAGGGTACGGAGAATGGGGGGGAAGAGAGCGATGAGAGGTGGGACGTTGGAACGAAGAGAGGGACAGGATCGAGGAGAGAGGCAGAGAGGTCCGTGGAACTGGTTCCGTTCCACGGATCACTGGAAACAATCATCCTTATTAAACTCACCACCGACCCACCCCACGGATATAGAGGTATTCTTCGGAATGATTTACCGGGAACCGTCGAAACAGGTGGATATCGTTTCAACCGACGATAAATTTTATACGTAAAACTTGCCCGCCACGAAATCTTTCATTTTTTCTCCCTCCCTCTCCCTCCCCCGTATCCATATCTGTATCCATCCCTTGAGTTTATCGAGATAAAAACAAGGGGGAGGGGGTGAAAGGGGAAGGAAAAGGGAAGATGCGGTAGGGGTAGGATGATTAGTCGAGGCACGGTAGCTCGAGCCACACGATTCTAATCTAAATTAGATCTTAAGAGCTCGTAAAAGTAAGTGGCCACGTTCGAAGGCTTACAACATCCCTCCCCCCGTGTCTGGATATTTCATCGTTCGGATTTCTTTGACCTCGTCGATTCACAATCACCGATACCGATTGATCGGTCGACGTCGCGAACAAGCGCCGTTTTCGAAAATTAGGTAAGGGGACATTCGTGGATGGATGGATGGATGGATGGATGGATGGATGGATCGTGCGTGGTAACGATTCAATAGAACGAGCCAATCGCGAGTTGCCTGAGCTGCCGTAAAAGCAGCTAATGAATATGCATCGTGATCGAGCGAGCTACCTCCTCTCGGTCAGCTAGTCAATAAACCTAAGCGGCCATAAAATCCAATTAGTGTGAAATTAATACTCCAACACGGTATCGAGAGGGAGACGGTGAAAGAAGAGAAAGAGAGAGAAGGGACAAGAAATGAACGATCGGGGAAGGGATTAATTTATATCGAAACGGCAAAAAGATATGGAACGACCTGTGTCGAGGAAATGATCCCCGATTACGAAACGATGGATTACGCGGCGAGGCGAAATTGCTTGCAAAAATTGATCGATTTCTTCTTTATCGACCCCCGATCTATTCGATGCGCTCTCCTCGGAAATTACAAAATTAAATCCGTACCATCCTGTGTTTTTCCCGATGAAGAAAGTAAAAGCCTGGACCTGGACCCGGGGTTAGAGGAGCATGCCAGACGCAGCATTTCGACGAGACGCCGCCGGACATATTAAGCCTTTATCGCGAGTCCGAACGTTGAAATTTCCGATAAGTCCGGACCGCTCGTCCGTCCGTTATACGACCATAATAAGATAGCCCTTGAAATTTTTTACGCCAAGTATTACGGCTGCCAAATATTCCTTGCACCGCTGCCAAATATTCGTCGCATGGCTGCCAAATAGTCCATATTGCGCGTAGTCAGATAAAATGCTCGTTAAAATTACTACCATTGGTAGTCAATCGATGAATATCACCGAATTGAAAATCTTGAAAATTATTCTTTTGGATAGTTGTTATGCGATCGCGCGCTTTTGACTATTAAAAATAATCGCGTTGAAATTATTATTTTTCAAAATCGTGCTTTGAATCGTGAACACGATGCCGATACTGGATGCAGTTACTTCTCAAAGTAAACTCACTTTAAAATTATAATTCAACGAGATATAAATTATGAAAAATATTCTTCCTTTAGATCGGATTCTTTCCCGTATTTCATCACGTACCATCGTGATTCGCGCGAAGTACACGTTCAACCTTTCGGGCTGCTGAATTTGTGGCAATGCTCGGCCGTGTTTATTCTATCAATGGTACACCATACCAGCTGTGTATATCTGCTTCTCTTCTCCGCATATCCCCTCTACCTTCCACTTAATTACGAGAACCTATGCCGCAGCCACAGGACCGGGCCTATTACGAACGATTACACCGCTATTAGTTACCTACCGGGTGTTCCGCGCTACGAAAGGAAGAAAAAGGAGGCGAAAAGAAAAAGCTATCCGGATAAATTGCGCTACACTCCGTTGCTGGCACGTTGCTGGATCCAACGCAACTGGATCCAACAGCCGGCAACTTAATAACGCGAAATCATAGTTTCGACGCGGCGCGGCAAAATTTACGCGACGACCACTATTCCTCTCCCCTTCCCCCCAAGAAAAGTGGGATGATCGATGGAGGAAGGCGCGATCGTTTCCCCGAATCGATAGATCTCGCCAGATCTTTCACGCATTCCTCCAACAATCTCGTCGATCACTTCGATCAACGTTGGAATTAACGCTATTTTTCCTATCCAATTTCATCCTATCTCTCTCGAGTTTCACTCTTTTTTCCTTCCTATATGTATCGCGCGGATATGTTCGCGAATCGAAAGAATTCTCGACCGATGCAATAGATAAGATTTCGTAATCGATCGAAACACATGGATTTTACGATCGCGTTCAAGGTCCGTCTATATATTCACGTTTCATCGTAAATTCAACGGAATCCATTAAAAAAAAATGTTGGAAGGGACGGAAGGATGCGGATCGTAATTTCCTTCGTAGAGATAGATATTCCCATAATCGTCGGTGGAAAGCGTGGCACGGGTGCCCTGTCACGAAATATTTCGGCTCGGATGGAAGCTAATAGCTCGCTCCACAACTTCCTACCGTATCTTGATCCCGTTACACAGGGGAAGGCTGACGAACACTGGACAACCTCTATCGTCTAGACATTTCTCGTCTTATCGGTGAAACGGAGATACGCGTTGAAGGACGGAGGTTCTCGGTTGAGAAGCTCAACGGAGGGGGAGGGTTTCCATATTTTCGGCGTGATAGAACATCCGTCCGAGAGTAGAGTCTTCGAAAAAGGGGGAGAAAAAGGGCAAGGTTTGAAAACTTTGAAAACGTGGTACGTGGCTTTTTACTGAACCGTACCTGGTGAACACGTCGGGATAATGAGTTCTCGAGAAAGCTTTCTCGAGTTCCTCCAATTGGAAGCTGGTGAAGGTGGTCCTATATCTGCGCTGTTTCCTTTTCGGTGCGAAGTCGTCGACCTCGGTCTCGCTTTCAGGGCTGGTCGGCGCTGCTCTAGGGTGGTTGCTCTCTTCCTCGGCTCTCACCTCTTCCGTAGAGATTCCCATTTGAGCCGATTGAGGTGTTGTCGTAGTAGGTGGCGGTTGTTGGTGAGCTTGCTGGCTCACCTGTTGTAGGCTCACCTGATTCACCTGGCTCGAGCTGCTCGTGCTGCTCGCAGGACTTGTCTGCGGGATAGCTTGCTCGCTCCCGCCTCCTCCTCCTCCTCCTCCTCGTATCGAATGATCTGCGATCCAGAAAGTTTACATTATTTGCGGCATCGACGCAAAATTATTCGACGAAAATTATTCGCGAAGGAGTAATGCGATACCGCAGTGTACAGTGGTCGAGTTATCGACATTTGGATTATAATTGGATATCCGAACGAAAGATAAGGAGATCCTGTTGGTTTAGCTTCCGCTAACTCGACTCGCTTTAATTTTTTTCATCGCGTTGTATAATATGTATATACACATGTATATAAAACCGATATTATTAAAATATATGTATATATACAGAAATTGCAATTGCTCGAACCGTTCCCATAATATCAATGTCAGCCGCACTCTACCTCCGCACAGAACTAGAATCGAACGTGTGCACGCAATATAACGAACATGATACAAGATGTTTCAAAGATACGTATGAAATGTTGGCGGATTAATAGCCTTCGCGATGCACGAGCGTCGAAATAACGTGTAAAATTAGAATGGATCGCGTAATTAGACGATACGGCGTGTCGAGATGACGTCGATATTATTTAACGATGATCGGTCGCCGCTTCAAGATCGGCCGGTTATTTTTGAATCGAATTATACGTAGACACGACTACGCAGGCACGAGACGGAGACGGAGACACGGGGACCGAGGTGTATAGGAGGAGGACAGAGTTATCGTTCCTTTCACCGACCTTGCCGCATTAATGATCCCTACAAGCCCACACTTCGGCACGTTCGGTGCTGTGAGTGATCATGTAACAACGTTCGATTCGCTTGTAACGACCAGAATCATTTTCACGCGCGATCGATACTTGGACATACCAACCGATGGATCCTACCTCGTGCTTACAACCTGCTACTGATAATCCCCGTCCGCAATTTGCAATGGTATTTTACTCCGCTCCCGAACCGGTTCCCCGCCCGTAATAAATTTCGTCAACTCGACTCGCCGCTTAATTCCTCGTTATTGAAATTCGACCGTTCGAATGGGCCCTTAAACGTTTAATCATTCCCATTACCATTCTCGTATCACACGTCTAAATCTATATCATTCGATCGTATCTGTAGTTCGAGTAGAATTCGAATTTTTTTTACAGATTTTGTCGCACGACAAAAATCGAAGTTGTCGAAGGTAGGAGTCGAGATATCGAGATGTAGAAAGAGAAGGGAAGAAGTAGAAAGATCGAAGCGGTTTGCGCTGGTAGTAGATCGAGCAGCTGTTTTTCTTCTTCCTCTTCTTTTATTTATTTATTTATTTATTTTTTTTTTTTCTTATTTGGGCCGATTTATCGGAAATGAGTTTATAATGCAGGTAGCCTGAACGTAATGCGAACGATAAGCGAGATCTAAGGTTGGTAAAGGTTTTCTTCTTTTTTCTTTTTTTTTTTTCCTTTCTTTTTTATTTTTTTTTTTTTTTATTTTTTTTCTTTTCATTGGATTTCACCATGAAATCCATCGAGTACATGCAGGTTCGTGTTACCGTGTTTCTCCAAGACGGAGAAGGAGCGTAAGAGAGGAACGCGTAGGTAGCCTTTTACATTATAATAGCATTAATGGGCTCGAAGCCGCACTTAATGCTCGTTCGTTCGTTGGCCAGTTCGCTTCGTTATTAACTGAAAATTACCGAAACCGAAATCTAATTCGCGTAAACACTGTAATTTCGTGGCGGGAGGAAGCGACTGTTCGTGGCTGGCACGGATCGGCGCGAACCCGAGATTTATATACCCGGTCCTCAACAGAAGCGTATCCTCGAATTTTTTGGCGATTCTTTGAAAATTCGAAAATTTCTCTCTCTCTCTCTCTCTCTCTCTTCTACGTTTGTTTCTCTCTTCTCGTCGATTTATTTTTTTTCCCCCGATTTAATTAATAAATCGAAACCGGAATAACCGGTGCTCGAGGGAAGGAAGGGTTGCGTATTGACCGCGTTGTTAATTGATCGTCCGTATTGAAAATTTTACTATGTTAATTTGTATCCGTTCGAACGGTTGCAAACTCTTACTCTGTGTATCGCGAATGCACGCGATTAGATGCGTCACGCTCGATTAGATCCTTCGGATGGAGTGATTTCCGAGTGAGCGGCTTGGAAATCCGCTAGTCATTTCTGTCATATTTACACGCTACCACGAGTACTCCTGTACGTGTCTGGTGAAACAGTCAACAGTTGTACACACCTATATATACATGTATCCCTGTGTGTACACATTCACTGGGTACATTACGCGTTCCTATGATCACGATTTATGGGCATACAAATTAGCGCGGCGTAATAAACTAATTAGCCAACTCATTGAGGCCGCGTGTGTTTCTCGCGGACGTGTTATAACGGGCGAGTCGACTATAATATTTTTCAACGATGACATTCAGTTACCGAGCTCTCCACAATTTTCTACAATTTTCTCTTAAACTCGCAATGAGAGTATATATAATAATCTCGAAACTCGTTCTTCAAATTTATTTTTTCCTCTCCTTTCAGTGAAAGTTAGTCAACCTCTATGTCGTTACAAATCCAATTCGCGAGAATGTTATTATTATCATCGTTTACTTATCTCGACTCGATCGAATACTATCTTTATTTTTTTCGTCAGCTTCTCTCTTTTTTCGCTCAAATTTCCGAAAGAAAAAAGGAAAAGAATTCCCTCGGGCGAGAAATACTGTGATCGAAAACGATAAAGCTATTGCTATGATGCAAAGCATCATTATTCTCGAGAGCGCGCCGATGCGTATACGAATCATGGAATCGAGACGTCGGTGTACAACGGCGACGCGTTACAACGAAAAAAAGGTGTTCCTCCATCGAATCATACTTGCAAATTCCCGCTAATAGACGCATCAATGCATCCTGTGACAAGAACCGGCGACGGTTGGACGTGTTCGATTTCTCGCCACGATAATAACAAGCAATTACGAATTATCGGCAATCCTTTGTAGCCGCTGGCTGCTCGATAGCGATAGCGCCCTCCGATAAACGATATTTACCTTCCGGATGCAGGTTACGCCCGCACCATGTGGTGCGTTTCAACCTTTCCACCTGTATTAATTAGCCCGTATAACATCGACCACTCTGCCCTCCGATAATAATTGCAACAATGGAGAGAGAAAGAGAGAAAGAGAGAGGGGAGGGGGGGGCTCGCGTAGAAGTATTAAAAGATGTAAAAGGGGAGATGAGCCGAGGCTCGACCCGTGTCGATGCGAGGCGTGTCGAGGGGAGGCGAAAGGAAAGAGAGGGCCGTCAGGAGGCCCTGTACACCGTATTACCTTCGTATTATCCTTACCTTCGTGTCTAACGTTATATATATATATACTCTGACAATTATCTTACGCTCGATCGTAAGAGAGGTAATTAAGTTGGCAACAATCGATTTTTTTTTTTTCTTATTTCGAACTCTCGCGTTAGAACGAACGAGACTTTCCCATGGAAACGCGATCGAGAGATAAATTCTTATTCGAAATACGATCGAATGGGCGCCAATCGTTTTTCATCCAATCGTTTAATTATTGGCTCATTGTCAACGAGAAATAAAGGTTCGATTAGAAGCGTTGAATGGTTCGAATTTCTCGGGTATACGCGCATCGTGGACGAAACGATCGATTCTCGATCTCGTGTAATTCGTTCCTCGTGAATTATCGCGATATGTCTTGCTGTTCGATTTCGTCGCGATGAATCTATTTCGATCTGATAGATCGTGAAAAGGATATATGTTAGTTATTGGATCGATGCAATATTCACAAAAGTGTGTCAAATTAAGGATTTTGGATTCCTAATTTTAATTTTGTTTGAGCTTCTTTTCTTTCAAACGCGATTTTGACTAATAATAGATTTTCTTCAGTTAATGTCAATAATTTTGAATTTTTAATGTTGGCAATTTTGTGTACGCAACATGTAAGAATTTAAAGTTTGCACGGAATATAACAATATTATTCGTTCGATAAGAAAATAGTGCAAAGATACATTTGAAAATGAACGGGAAAATTTAAAAAAAAAAAGAAAAGATGTTTGTAATTATTATTTGTCGCGGGTAATAAAGCAACATTCTCCACCGATCAAACGATAAAAAAAACCGGATTGTGCGTGTTTGTCGTTGAACGTTGTAATGAGTTACAAGACAATTATTTTCCAGTATAATTAACTCAATCGCGATATTATTTTATTTATCTATCCAACAATCGCGTAATATATATATTTTTTTTTTGCGTTTCTATTCGTAATTAATAAAACGCGGTCTCACTCCATGGTTCAAACAAACCATTTAATTTACGCGTATTACGCGATTCACAATGAACGCGTTCAAACTTTTCGCCGATTTACATCGCTGTGTACTACTCGGTTACGTCATACGCGCATACGTGAACCGACTAAAAAATTAATTGTCTGCTACCATTACCACCATCCGTTCGCGTAAAATAAAATCCAACGATAATTACGAATCGTGTTAGTTAATTCTTGGAATTGCGATGCATGTTGCAACACACGCCAACATTCAACTCCGATGAAAATCTCGTGACGGCACGATTATAATTTGCAAATTACTCTATCGGAGAACGTGTAAAGCCGTGTGGATCAACGATTCCAGCTCGCGAAATCAATTAACGATTGAGAGATATCGTTGAAATAATTTGTCGACGTCAGGGAAATTGGTAGATCATCGATCATCCACCGATGAACCATTCTCGAGAGAGAGAGAGAGAGAAAGAGAGGCTTCGAGAATCGCGGATAAAAGTGAAGAGCCGTTCATCCGTTTTGCTCTCATCTCGTATCTCGAGCTCGAGGATGATCGTAACGCGTGTTGGCCGATACTTTGGTCCGATCGATGCACTGGTCGACGTTTTGTTACAAATCGCGTGTAATAATTTTAATGTTCGACGAGGAACAATTACGTGTGATCTTTGAATCGGGAGAGGAAGAAAAAGAAGGAACGACGCGTGTGTCATAGGAATCGTAAAACTCGACGGATCTCTCCAACGTCCGGTAGAGCGAGGATCATGCTACGAACGCCAACGTTTTGTCCGTCGATCGCCGATAATGATCTGC